TCTGCTCTGCGGATGCATATGTTTTTATTCCAGTTTGCCAATGCTGGCTGAGGTAAATCATCTGACCAGCTGTATATATTTAGAAATATTGTTTTAAATAGTAAATTACGTCATCTAATCAATACTAAGTAAACTGCCTTACTAGTAACTAGTTTAGTTTTATCAATACTCGATTATAGTAGCTCCTTGATATCAGGAATGTTACTGGAGAAAGTTAAAAGACTTCAAAATGTCAAAAACAATACTGCACGTTTAGTCTTACGGAAAGAAAGCGAGATTCTGCTACACCTCTTTTACGGACATTGCATTGGCTTCCTGTTGAGAAAAGAATTGTGTACAAGTTGGTCAACCTATGTCCCAATTTTAATGCTTGAATGATAATGCGAAATCATATTTATCAAATCTGTTGAGAATGTACCTTCCAACTCGCAGTTTAGGGTTATCAGTTGATAAAAAGAAATTTCTTTTACCATCTATGAAACTTAAAACAATGGGTAAAATGGCATTTGAATGTCAAGGCCCCAAGATCTGGAATGCTCTGCTAAGTACTTTAAGAAAGATCAAATCTTTTCATTAATTCAAATGTCAACTGAAGTCATTTAAGTTCATAAAAAAAATAAGATGAAAATTTGGAGTGATTTTCTTTTGGTCAGAACACAACGTTTTATGTTACCCTGTTGTATTATATTTCAAAGCGCTCAGGCCTGTGTACTTTAATCGTGGTTGAGCGCTATATAAATGTTTTAAGTAGTAGTAGTAGTAGTAGTAGTAGTAGTAGTAGTAGTAGTAGTAGTAGTAGTATAACAATTATGAGGTAGTAGTTGTAGTAGTAGTAGTAGTAGTAGTAGTAGTAGTAGTAGTAGTAGTAGTAGTAGTAGTAGTAGTAGTAGTAGTAGTAGTAGTAGTAGTAGTAGTAGTAGTAGTAGTAGTAGTAGCAGTAGCAGCAGCAGCAGTAGTAGTTAAATTTCAAGAGGTTCATAGACCAGAATAACGTTCCGTATTGAATTGAAAAGTTTTACCTGGTAACGTGCGACTGTTTACTGTTTTGGCAGAGCGTCACGCACTATGTTAAAAAAAAGAATGTCAGAGGTACTCACCGGAAAAGATAAAAGATCCACAAATGATCATTGGAAGACTCAGCCAAGTTTCAATAGAAATAGGCGTTTTGAAGACTAAACGATGGGCCACTGCCATAGTCACAGGTTCAGTCAGCTTGATGGCAAAAGTGGAAGCCGCCTGAATAGAGAAATTACTTTTCTTTACATCAACGGCAATTGGTTCTGACCTAGTTCAAGGTTGTGCCGGACACAAAAACATTCATTAAAACGAGGTTTGAAACGAGCAAAATGATAGGCAGCTGTCAAGAACTGGTGACTGAGCGAGAAACGACTTCTTTTTATAGATGACAAGGCCAACTTTACTAAAAACATGAAGGAAGAGAGCCACCACCACACTATTAATATATATATATATATATATATATATATATATATATATATATATATATATATTTTTTTTTTTTTATATATATATATATTGGGATAGACTCAGAAAGTTAGGCAGGGGGCTCTCGTGGCCTAGAGGTTAAGGTGTTGGCCTCTTATTCAAAGGTCCCGGGTTCGAATCCGGGTAGCGACCGAAAAATGTTCTTCTCTAAAATTGTCTCCTTTCACATCCTTCCCTGCTCTCTAGCAATGTTCTGTTGTCTGCTTTCTTTTCCACTTTCTGCCCCCATCCCTTCAACTCCTTTGCCCCCTCCTCTGGGCTCCTGACTCTTTCTGCAGCCTTTCTACTGCTACTCCTTGGCTCCTCCTTACTACTGTCTTTCTGTCACAACCCTGATCTTCTGGTAGGAAAGATCTACACCTAGCCTTCT